ACGCGGCAGAGGGTCGAGGTGGGCTTCCTCTGAGCAGAGGAAGTCCACGTCGAGGAACACGCTAACATTCCAACGTCGAGGACCACGAGGAAGCTAAGCTCATGTCGGGCCTACAGAGGAAACACGCTAACATTCCAAGGCATAGCTTACATTGATGTACTTCACTATTCGCTTTCGGAGACGACTATTTCTGTCCGTGTTTGCAGAGAGATGTGTTTTTTGGTGCACGTGTTTCTCTTTTGATAACAGCTCCTTCTTTTTTGAGAACATGCAGTCTTCAACTAGGCACCGCCGTTGGGTCTGGTGTCCTCGTCGCCGCGGTAGGGCGCACGGCCACAACGGCAGTGGGCTCCACCGGGGGAGGGGGCAAAGATGTAGTCGGCGAGTCAAGGGCGTGGAGTCTGAGAGTTTCACGCACGTTCGCAGCCAGGAAAGCAATGCCCGGTCTGCGCGGCGCCATTGCAGGCCAGCTCCGCGCGAGTGCGGATCGAGGCATGCTTTTCCAGATGAGCTTCAAATATTATCGAGGGTACAACACCCCTAACCCGAATAACACAGTGAAGATGTGTCCTCGCTGAGGTCCTTGTCTTCGCATTAGGGATTCTAATTTTGGGAGGTTTGGTTCGATACATCTGCAGAAAAAGAGCCCCAATCCCTTATGTTCTTGGCCCTCCTAACTTAGGTCCCTTCCAAAAGGGTTAGGGGCCATGTTTTGGTGAATCAGAATTGCTCTACAACGGGCGGTGGGGCCCTCCGATGTCATTGCTTATAGCCTCGGGAGTGGCCGTGCTGGCTGCACGCCTGCAGCGCCGACCTCGGGCGAGAGGAGGGAGCTCTGCGCGACCCCGCAACGCCGCTTCTGGAGGGCATTCGCGTGCGCCGGCGTCTGATGATCACTGGGAGGGCGCCGATGCAGCGCCGATTCGCGCCGACCTGTTGTGTCGATCGGCGTCGATTTGGCGTCGGTCGGCGTCGGCTCGCCAGCGTGGGAGGAGGAGGTGGAGGAGGAGGAGGAGGAGGAGGAGGAGGAGGAGGAGGAGGAGGCGGAGGAGGAGGAGGAGAAGGGGAAGGAGGAGGAGGAGGAGGGAGGAGGAGGGGAGGAGGAGGAGGAGGAGGAGGAGGAGGAGGAGGAGGAGGAGGCTTCCGTGACTTGCCACCGAGGAGGGCGCATCGGGTCCTCTGCTCCTGAGCAGCTGCCTCCGCCTCCGGAGCAGGAGATGCGAGGGCTTCCCAGCAGGCCGGAAGCCTTTCTGATGGGCCTGTTTTCCACCACCACCACCAGAAGTTGCAGGGGGAGGAGGAGGAGGAGGAGGAGGAGGAGGAGGAGGAGGAGGAGGAGGAGGAGGAGGAGGAGGAGGAGGGAGGAGGAGGAGGAGGAGGAGGGGAGGAGGAGGAGGACGAGGAGGAGGAGGAGGAGGAGGAGGACCCCCTCCTCCTCCAACTTATAGTGGTGGTGGTGTTGGAAAACAGGCTCATCACTTCCGAGCCTCCTCGGAGAAGGCCTGGCCCCTCTGCTTGCCCTCGTGGGCTCGCCGCCGATTCCCGGCCTCCGAGCGTCTCCACCGAGGAAGGTCACCGAGCGCGTCCCACTGCTCGCAGAATGCCTACTCGCAAACGTCCGCAAAACCCACCCAGCGTATCCAGGCCATTAGCGAGTAGTGACTTTGCGAGTAGTGGAACGCGCTTGCCTGGAAGAGCAACGCTCCACGAGCATCAACTTTCGGAGCTCCGCGCGGACTTCTTGCATCGGCGTCGGGCCCCGCTGGCTTGCTCCGCTTGCTAGGGAGAATCCAGGACGCCCGCGCGGATCTCGGAGAAAGGCAAGCTTCCCGTCGTCGTCTTTTAGCCGGAGGAGCGTGGAGGTTTCTTGAGTTATGATGTTCCAACCTACTTTAGCCTTGATCACCAGTAAGAATTGCGAGCACCGAACCTTGATGGTTTTCACGTGTCGGGCCCTGGGAGGCGATACTCGTTCGACACTGTTTCGATAGTTTTCTTGGCGCTCGAAATTATTTCTGGGATGGGGTCCCCTGGAGTGCGATGGGAGCAGCATGATTCTTTAGGCTCTCTCGGGCCCGCCGGGGCCTCCGGACGGTTCCCGAGGCCTCTGCGCGGGGGCCCTTTTTTGGAGGGTTCCGCGGAGGCGTCCTCCGCCGCTCCAGAGCCCGCCGTCGGTGCCGGTGCCGTCCTGGTCGGGCCGGGGGGTGGGGGATCGGATGCCTCGAGACTCGAGCAGTGGCGGAGCGTCCTGGCTCGCCTAAGTAGGCCCACCAGAGAGTCTTCTAAGATCCTCTTGTGGTTTCCACGGCATGCTCTTAGGACATTGCTGGGTGGGACTGTCTTGTTTTAACACATTGGGTGTGTGTGTGTTCTAAGGATAGCGTCTTTGTTCTTAGACCATTCCTGGGTTCTAAGAACATTTCGTGGTAGGCCTATAGGAATGTCGGGACGGTCGGTCCCTGCTTAAGAGACGGGGGTCAATGCAATTTGGGGGTCAGCCAGAGCGTCCGATCTTGCAGGATCTTGCAGGGCCAGGGTCGCACTGACCCGGGCTTGGGTGCAGGATCCTGCAGGATCCTTCGCATTGGCCTGGGGTTGGGTGCAGGATCTTGCAGGATTTTGCAAGGCCTGGCTGACCCGGGTCTGGATTGAGCCGTGTCAGAAGATCCCCGATGCACCACGAATCTTTCAAGGCCTCCTACCCCAGACCCCCTCGGGTAAACGAACAACATCATGACAGAAGGTTTTTTGCTATTTTCGGCTTCTGGGGGCCCCTGCCGGCCCTCGAGACCGTCAAACAACGACTCAGGATGAAACACCAGTCCAGGGGAATGGGTCGAGACCTCCAGAGGTCGACGTAATGAAAAAACATGACGTCGGGGGTTTGGGACAGTGGAGACCCATGCAAAGAAACACCCTGCTTGCGCCCAGGGTGCCCTGGGTTTCTTGGGTTTCCATGGTTTTCCACAATCAAGGGACGTCCTGGTGTCTCAGGGTTGGGTTTCTTGTGGCAGGTTTCTTGTGGTCGGGTTCCTACCGTAATTAGGCCTCCTAGATGGGGTCCGCGCAGATGGGATCGGAGGATCGCGCCGCATCGCCGACACATCGGCGATGCTGCTCGATGTTGGGCCCGACTTTCTCCACGCCGATGTATCGCCGATGCCTCGCCGACGTCGCCGACCGCATCGCCGATGCCGCGCGATCCTCTGACCCCATCTACTCGGACCCCATCTAGGAGGCCTCTATTGAATAGAGGCCTCCGCGGAGTCGAGAAGGGAGCGGGGGCAAGAGAATAGGAGGGACTAGTCGGGAGGAAGAGGGGACTTCGGGACAGAGAAGACGAGGAGGGGGGAGGAGGAGGAGGAGGAGAATGAATAAGGTGAAAGATGAATCAGATGAGGAGGATAAGGAATAGGGCGATGAGCGTGAGGAGGGGGAGCAGGATGCGTCGACCAGCCGATCCGAAACTTGATCGCCATACCGATGGGGAAAGGACGGGATTGTGCCGTTGCGCCCGCCCCCACGGATTTTTTATTCAGTGTGGCGTTTTCTTTTGGCAGCTGCACGTGTTGCGACTGGCGCCTGCCATTCGCATCGTCTGCGCGTTTGGATTACCTGTGGTCTTGTGGATGATGTCGCGCGCCCTCAAAGCACGCCCTGCGTCAGTCGTTGTTTTTGATTTGCGGCACGCCAAGTTAGGATGAACGGCGATGACTTGTCTTCATGTTCAGAGGAGTTAGCTTCCCCTCGCGCGAACTCACCCAGCGAGTGCGTGACGCGTCGTCTTGTAGAACATCGACCGCGGTTGCCGTTCGCGCTGTTCGAACAGGGTGCGCCCTCAGCATGACGCGCCTGTCTTTGCGTGGTTCGCGCGCGCGCGACAATCACAAAAACTAGGCTTCATTTCTGCAGACCGCTGGCTAATGTTTATGATTGTTTTGATTATTCTCGAAGTATTTTTCAAAGCGCTCTTTTGACATCACGAAAAATATTTGTTGAGTACTTTTTATTTTTCGCTCCAAAGCTGTCTGTAGGAGGACATGCCCGACATAACTCTATTCCCAGGATGGGCCTGGCTGGGAACCGGTGAGGCGAGCAGCCGGCATTCTCCCTCGTCCTCCTCCCTGCACCTCTGACATCGTGATCTTGCACGGCGTGGGCCTCCAGAGCTCCAGGCCAACTCCCTTGATAGCCCGTGGCCCTGTTTGTTGAGAGCCCCATTCAGGATGCCATTTCTGGGGGATGACGTTCAGCATCGGCGCTCGTATATCCGTGGTCGATACCGGCATGATCAGGCATAATCATGTTTCATTCCGCTTGATCCTGCCTACATAATCTACATAATCTGTCGCAGTTGGGCTTCATCCCAGGTTTAATCCGCCCTGCTCCAGCTTAATCGTCCCTCGCTTGGGCTGCGTGATTAGTACCTCATTTGTTCTGACGATCGCCCCCCAGAGGTTGCTTCCCAACCTTTGGGTCTCGACCGGGCCCCAAAATGTCCACGTGGGAGACGAAGACCCCGCCGTGTGCTCTTGCGGTGTCAGGAGGTCGGGGTTCAGGGGTCCCACGTCGTCCTGCGGGCCCGTCCGGGAGTGCGCGCGGGCCAGCACTCCGAGGCGCACCGAGCCGCGGCGACGGGGTGCCTCGGTGAGGCACCCCGCACAGAAACGACCGAACGGTCCAACAAGTTGACCCTCGGACCTCCTGTCGTCGTCCCCCTCTCCCTCCTCCTCGCCTCTGTGGGCCGCCCTGGCGTCAGCGGTGCCACCGGTGGTCCCATAGAAGGCGCCTGCGTCCTGCCACACGTGAGGTGACCCTTGGCCGGAGTGGTCTCTGGTGCGGGCCCACTGGGGTCCCCCGATCGCCGAACGCGATGCGGCAGGAGCGTCTTGCGCGCTCGTGCTTGGCCCCTCGCGTCCCCCGAAAAAGAGGCGCACCAAAGGTCACTCTTACCCAGGGTCACTCTTGAGTGTCGCCGATACGTATACACCACAACCACCATGCCTGATGAGGCCATCGTTGGCCTCAGGGCGTATAATTGGTATACACGCCACAATCGCCAGGACGTGACGGCGTTCCCCGAACTCCGCCGTTTCGAACAGACTGCGAGCTCGCGAAACATCGCGACCGGAGCCCTGGGCCCCATCTTTCTGCAATATTTATCGAGCCGGGTCGATCTGCGATGGTCCTGGGGCCGAAACTGGGCGAACACGCCTGGTGTGACAAACATGGCAACGCTCGGATCTCAGGGTAAACCGTGTATGCCGATCACGGGTCTTATTTGGATCAACGCGGGGATTTCTAAGGGGAGAGGGTTTGAAGTGGATGTTAAGGTCGGATACAGTTACCTGGCCTAGCCTAGCTTATGAGTGTCTTGGGAATGCCACCGGTGGCTTGCGGGGGGGGGCAGATATCTCTAGACCAAGTAGGCAGAGCTCCCATTTACCAGAGTTGGCTGACCATTTCAGCCACTCAGGACATTTGTAATCCACTCATGAGCTCGGTTGGGCCAGACATGCCACACCTTCACATCCCTTTTGACCCGCCCATCCCATTAGGCACCCCCGCGGTCGTCCAAGTGTCCCTTTCCTGTCGTTAGTTTTCGGGTCATAGCTTTGGCTTCGGGTTGCCGTTCGGGACGATCTGGGCACCCCAGGAACTCCCTCGGCGAGGCGCAGCCGCTGGAGGAAAGAAAACGGCATCAACACAGACGTTGGGAGCTCCGCGCGGATGTCTCGGATCCGGCTTGGCTCCCCTGCCGGCGCCTCTGGCGCCGACCCTGGTTCGCTTCGCGTGCCATGGAGGGGGGTCCAGCGCAAATTCAAAAATCAGGATGTTTATGGCGTTTCTTGTTCTTCGAGGGAAAAAGAAGCGACACCACCACCACCACCACCACCACCACCACCACCACCACCACCACCACCACCACCACCACCACCACCAGGGAAAGCCACCTACAGCGAGGGGGGGCCACACCACCAGGTTCCCCCCCTGGCTCCTCCCGCTGGTGGTCCCTGGTGGTGGTGTCGCCGTTCCCTTGCCCCTGCACAGTCGAACCGCATAGCAAGGGTGGACAATTCTCCCAAGGGTACCCTTGCACTCTTGCCTCCTCAGTTCATCCTGGGCCACTCTCGTCGGCTGCGCCCCGCTCAACACGCTCCGAAACGGCTCTCCAAGGCCCTTGCATCCTTACCGTGCGTCCTTACGATACGGGTCGACTGTACCGCTGGCGTCCCCTCGAGGTGGTGGCCTTGCTGACCTGGGCCGCGCTGCGCGAGCGCGCCCGCGCCCTGCGGGCGGAGCGCGAGGCGCGCGAGCAGCGCGATAACGCTGCCCGCCAGGCGCGGCTGCGCGACGAGGAGCGCCCGCTGCGGCCGCCGCCCTGCGCCTGCGGATGTGGCGCACGGACGCACACGCCCTCCTCCTCCTCCTCCTCCTCCTCCTCCCCCATCTTCCCTCCTCCCCCTCCTCATCCTTCCCCCTCTTCCCTCCTCCTCCTCCTCCTCCTGCTCCTCCTCCCTCCCTCTTCCTCCTCCTACTCTCCTCCTCCTCCTCCTCCTCCCTCCCCCTCCCTCCTCCTCCTCCTCCTCCTCCTCCTCCTGCTCCTCCTCCCCCCCTCTTCCCTCCTCCTCCTCCTCCTCCTCCTCCTCCCTTCTCCCCCCCAGCCTTCCTCCCTCCCTCTGCCTCCTCCTCACCTCCTCCTCGTCCACTGCCGACACCGCTGCCCTGGCCTCATTTTCACCTTTTCGGGCCTCCCAGGAGGCCCTCGTCGCCACGGTCAGATTCGCCGCGAATTTGCACCCTGGGAGAGGTCTGGGGCGTAGCGGTATCGGTACAATACCTTTTTTGTCCCCCGAGCGCACACCCATACCTAGTGTGCCGAGCGGACACAGACCGACAGACAGACATACAGACAGACAGACAGGGACAGGGACAGAGACAGAGACAGAGGCAGACAGACAGACAGAGACAGTCAGAGAGAAAGAGAGAGAGAGAGAAAGAGAGAGAGAGAGAGAGTGAGAGCGACAGACAGAGACAGGCAGGCAAACAGACTGACAGATAGACAGAAAGACAGACATACAGACAGGACAGAGAGACAGAGAGACAGACAGACAGACATGGCAGGACAGGACAGGACATGACAGGACCGGACAGGACAGGACACGTCACGCCACGCCACGACACGCCACAAGACGAGACGACGCGACACGACACGACACGCGCACGCGATCGCGCACAGGCACGCGTACAGGCACACGCACACGCACACACAGATACACACACGCACACACAGAGAGACAGACACAGACACACACGCAGACACAGACACAGACACAGACACAGACACACACACACACAACACACACACATACACACACTGACACACACGCACGCACGCACCCACGCACACACACACACACACGCACACACCCAGACACAGACACAGACACGGACAGAGACACAGACACAGCCACAGTCACAGCCACAGCCACAGCCACAGCTATATATAGCCAGAGACACAGACACAGACACAAACACAGACGCAGACCCAGATGCAGAGGCAGACACATAAACAAACACAGACACAGCCACAGACACACATAAGCACACCCAAACACAAACACAATCACAACCACACAGGCACACATACAGACACACACACACTCACACACACACTTTCACGCACGCGCGCACGCACACACGCGCACACACATACACACTCACCCCCCATTCTCCCACACCCACACACACATACACACCCGCACACACAAACACACGCACATACCAACACACAAGCACGCACACACAACGCACACACACACACTTGCGTGCACGCACGCACACACACACGGACACAGACATACAGACACACACACACACACACGCATACAGTCATACACATACGCCCACACGCACCCGTACACACCCACACACACCAACACATCAACACACCAGCACACCTACGCACGCACAACACAACACATCACAAAACAGCACAAACACACAGACACACACAGACACAAACACAACCACAAACACACACACACACAAACACACACACACACACACACACACACGCACACGCACGCACACGCACGCACGCACGCACGCACGCACGCACGCACGCACGCACGCACGCACGCACGCACGCACGCACGCACGCACGCACGCACGCACGCACGCACGCACGCACGCACGCACGCACGCACGCACGCACGCACGCACGCACGCACGCACGCACGCACGCACGCACGCACGCACGCACGCACGCACGCACGCACGCACGCACGCACGCACGCACGCACGCACGCACGCACGCACGCACGCACGCACGCACGCACGCACGCACACGCACGCACGCACGCACGCACGCACGCACGCACGCACGCACGCACGCACGCACGCACGCACGCACGCACGCACGCACGCACGCACGCACGCACACGCACGCCCTCGCGCCCGCCGCCCCGCCGCCCCCCGCCCGCCGCCCTCGCGCCCCTGCGCACGCACGCACGCACGCACGCCCGCCCGCACGTTCGCCCGCACGCCCGCCCGCCCGCCTCCCCGCCCGCCCGGCCGCGCACGCGCACGCACGCACGCACGCACGCACGCACTCGCGCACTCACGCACTCACACAGACACACACCGACACACACACAGAGGAAGAGGAGGAGGAGGAGGAGGAGGAGGATGAGGAGAGGGAGGAAATGGGAGGAGGAGGAGGAGGAGGTGGAGGAGGAGGAGGAGCAGGAGGAGGATGTAGAGGAGGGAGGACGACGAAGGGAAGAGGCGGGAGGGAGGCCGAAGGCTGAGCAGCAAGGCCTCGGCGCCTGAGGTGTTACGAACGGATAGCACACGCTCACGACGCGAGGAGGCAGGGCTCGTCGTCGCCGTCGCCGTCTTCGCCGCCGCCGTCGTCGTCGTCGTCGTGGTCGTCGTGGTCGTCGTCGTTGTTTTCGTCAGTCGTCGGGCGTGGGTCGTCGGTCATCGTCGTCGCCGTCAGCCGTCGCCGTCGTCGTCGCCGTCGTCGTCGTCGTCGTCGTCATTCTGGCCCTGGTCCTCGTCCCCGTCCTCGCCCTCGTCCTTGTCCTCGTCGATCTCGTCCTCGTCCTCGCCGTCGCCGTCGTCGCCGGACGCGGTGCGCGGCGAGGAGCGCAAGGGCCGCGTCCGCGCGGAGCGGCAGCTGCGCGAGGCGGCCGTTGGCGGCGGCGCGGCGCCTGGCGACGGCGCCCCCGGGGGGCCCGTCGTGCAGCAGAGCGGTCGCGAGCGTTGGCAGCGCCCCAAAGTTTGGCATCGTTCGGACGTGTGCTAACTTTCTCGGCGAGGACCATCGCTCGGGCGTGTGCTATTTTCCCCTCCTCCTCCTCCTCCTCCTCGTCCTTCTGTTCCTCCTTCTCCCTGCTCCTCCTCCGACCTCCTCCTCCCTCCTCCCTGCTCCTTCTCCTCCCTCCTCCCTCCCTCTCCTTCTCCTCCTCCTCCCTCCTCCTCCTCCTTCTCCTCCTCCTCCTCCTCCTCCTCGTCCTCCTCCTCCCAAAAGATTGACATCGCTCGGACGTGGATCATCTAGGGACAAAATGCATGCACGAAGCCGAGACGTGCACACGGAGTGGACGTCCGAGCGATGGCAGGTGGTTTCTTCACCGACACCGACGCGTGAGCTGCCGACGCAGGGTCCCGCGTGAGCGTCCTTCTTTCGCCAGCGGCCCGCGTGCGCCGCCGTGTGAGGTCGCTGCGTCACCTCGTGCCCCGTTCAGCGATGCTAGGATTTTTTGGGGGTCCCGTCGCTCACCTGTCAACAACGAGCGAGTTTGGAAATGGAAAAGGTAAAGACCTTCCCAGAAGGCGGCGGGACTTCTCAGAAGCCCTTGCGCCCTCTGAGCAGTTATGTTTGCCCTCGGGGAAAGCTCAGAGCACTTCTCAGCAGGCCGGGGGACTTCCGAGCCTTCTGAGAGGGCCTTCTCCTTCTCTCGCTTCCCCCCCTCGTCAGGCGGTCGCAAACATGGATCAAGGGGGCGTGGATTAGCGACGGGACCCGCTTCCATGAGAAACCGCGGATCTCCGCCGCCGAGCAAGGTGGCACTGGCCGTATATTTGGGGAGGGCACATCCCCCGATCCATGGATTTGGCGACCGCGCGCCAGATCCATGGATCGCTAATCTGGAGTCGGGCCTGACCCTCTACAGGAGGAACCTTCAAAAATAGCAAGAACATGTCAGGGGACGATGTTTTGAGTATTCTTCAAGATCTTGGAGCCTCTTTTGGGGGAGTATTTTTTATTTCATTATCCAAAGTCTCCTGTAGGGGGACACGTCCGACCCAACGCTAATCCATGCTGGCGCGCCCCCGGCCTCGTGGAGCCGGGCGTGTCCCTCTTGATGTTCCAACCTACTGTAGCCTTGATCGCCAGTAAGAATTTCGAGCGCCAAGAAGGTACCGAACCTTGAGTGTTTTCACGTGTCGGGCCCTGGGAGGCGATACTCGTTCGACACTGTTTCGATAGTTTTCAGGGTGCTCGAAATTGTTTCTGGGATGGGGTGCGTAAGTACGATGGGAGCAACATAAGTATGGGGACGATTGTCCTTTTATTGCTAAGGTCTTACGGCCAGTGCCGCCGACCCTGGATACCTCGGCCCTCGAGGGTGACGGGATGCGTGATAAGACGTCGGAGATAAACAAAGACGTGGCGGAGGAAGAGGCGGAGGAGGAGGAGGAGGAAGAGGAGGAGGAGGAGAAGGAAGGGGAGGAGGAGGAGCAGGAGGAGGAGGAGGAGGCAGGAGGAGGAGAGGAGAGGAGGAGGAGGAGGAGGAGAGGAGGAGGAGGCAGGCGAAGGAGGAGGAGGAGGAGGAGGAGGAGGAGGAGGAAGAGGAGGGGGAGGAGGAGGGAGGAGGAAGGAGGAGGAGGAGTTGGAGTTGGAGTCCCTGGACGTAGCCCTTCCACTCATCACCTACACCTCTTCAGGGCTTTACGAGCTAATTCCGCATTACTGTAGACTTTGGGCCATTGCCCCAACCTAATCAAACGAAGGTATTCACTCCTCGTCGCGGTGGGGCGGGGGACGCAAACCTTCCCAAGGCCGCAAAGCTGCTGGTCCCCATACATCCCACAACTCGCACAAAACCAAATCTTTAATTCGGCGTGAAACCTCATACAATGGGAGGGGTCCACAAACCCCCCAGCAATGTGAACGGTGGCCCCCTCAGGAAGTGCACGAAGGGAGCTATCAAGGGCAACTAACCTGAAACACGGAGACTTACGCCAAACCGAGACGCGCGCAGCCGACGCGGACCCTCGGCACCGCAGACAGCGCCTACCACACTCCGACAGAGCATGGCTCGCCTCAAAGGCCGACAGAATATTCTGGCTCGGAGGCGGGGGAGGGGGCGGGGGGTCGGCAGCAGCAGCAGCAGCAGGCTCACCGAGCTCCACCGCTTCCCTCCGTCCCCGAGCTCCTCGCCTCGGGTGCCGACCGTTCAGCGGGGTCGGTTGCAGCGTCTTCTCGGCCTCCATGGCGTCGAGGTGCGACCTGAGAATCCTCATGCGGATAAGGTACAACACGCGCTCCTTTTCCAGTATGTCGGTGTGGACAGCTTCAGGTATACGAGCTATGGTCGCACCTTCACCTGCCAAAGTGTCCGCTGCTGCATTGCCAACCGTCATCCAAGAAGAGCCCGCTCGATGCACGACATCCTCGGCCTCCAGGTGCGAGTTCGTGAATAACACTGTCACATGTTCAGGTCGCCGTCCCGTGTTATGAAACAGCAAGCCTATCTTCGCCCACAATTCAGCGTGCTCTCCAGTTGGATGATGATATTTCTGAGACCACCAACCTTCGTGCACCATCTGGATGTCTGTCACATACGTTACATATTGTTCCGTCAGCCGCAAGGCTACCCAGAAGATATAAAGCTCACCTCTGGACACCGTCTGAACAACACCTGGGAGAGCTCCAAAGAGGGATACTTGCAGCTGGAGGTCAGTTTCACTTTCCATATGTGCGAGACCGAGACCGATACGTCTGAACCTCCCGTCTGATGAATCCGCCCCGCCACTAGCGTCGCCAAAGAGCTGCACTGGCCTGGCACACTCACCAGGGCCTAAGACTCCATCAGCAACACCATCGTTGAGCCCCGTCTGGAACCAGACCTCCTCATCAGGCGGCTCGGGTACCACGGTCCACTGTGCTGGCATGGCTCCGCGGAGCCAGTACGCTGGAGCAGACTCATGTTGAGAAGCCGCTTGCATATACACCTCGTCCGACTTGGTATAGATAGGGTGATTGACGTTGTGATCGCATTCCCATATTCGATGAAAAGGTGACTCATTGCGTCTTTTGCAACGAGGACACAGCGCACATACTTGGACCTTGGTGGAGGCCTCAGCTCGACGGAGCCTCGGCCACGACCCTCCAGCAACTACCGTCGATAACAACTCTGAGAGCCTGCGCCCGCGGGGAAGCTGCTCCAGGTGCTTCAGAAGCCGCTGCAGAGATACAACATCCATGCCTTGCCCAAGACCTTCCCCACAGAAATGCCTCTCAGCAGAAGCCCACACGAGCCTCTCCGACGATCTGTTAAAATCCTGGAAAAAAAGCTTGGTGTCGTTTAAAGCCGAGATGTCCGAATACCCAGCTTCTGGAAACCTCCACTCCGTTCCGTCGGCCATGATCCAGCAAACTGGTGATACTGGATCCCATCCCCGTTCAAGAAGAGTCAAAATCGCCGTGGACATCGGTCCCCTCGCCCACCTAGAGCGCTGATGGGGAGGCAAGCTTTTGAAATGACCAACCACCCGCGCCCACGCCTTGCGCACACGTCCTCGAATCTCTGGACGGGCGAACCACTGCTGGAGCCAGAGGTGCAAGGATTGCTGAGGGCACCTGATTCCAGGATCCAGCCCAGGCGCTTTAATGGCAAGCGTGGACACCAGACACCGACCACGGCCCCCAGACGAAACAGCGGCAGCCAAACTCCTACGAAAGGATACAAGACGTTGGCCGAAGGTGCCGTGGAGCTCCTGCCCGTAGTTGCCTGCTGCCTGTGCTCCGAGCCGTTCAAGCCTGGACGTGATAGTATACTGACGTGAAGCGCGCGCATACCGAACGACACGAGCATGCATACGACCGTGCTTGGCCACTCTCTTAGTGCGCGTAGCCCGAGCCGTCCTTCTGCCTCCTCCCTGGTCAATCCCGAGATAAGCTCCCTGAAGTTGCGGCCGAACAGTGAAACCTTGATCTTTCAAACGTTTGGCGATCTCCTTGGCATCCCGTGGAAAGAACAAATCACGATCGACTTCGGCGAGACATCCAAGTGCCACTTAGCCAGCTCATTAAAGGTGGCCCCCAGACACGCAGTGACCCCCTTGACGACCGACTGCCTGGACCCAGACATCCTCTGCGACAAGTCGTCGATCCATATGCGATGGCCGAGAGCAGGATGGGTACGAGAGATACGAGCCATAACATAATGAGTCATACACTTCGCGAATCTGGCGCCCGACCTGAGCCCCTGGATAATACTACGATCAACGAGGAATGGTTCGCATACAGCTCCGAATTGCTTCAACGTGCGCGCCGCAACACACTGGGCCAATTCCATATATAATACTACTGGAGGATATCCCATGCGAAGAGCCGCAAACACCAAGAGATCCCATTCGATGCCGTGGTAGAACCCTTTAATATCTAACATACCGTGCCCCGTCGGAAGCTTCATCCACCCCGCAATTTCGTCAGCTAACGTGCAGTGGAAGGCTTCCACCAAAGAACTATTACCCTGTATGGCTGCATCCCACTCCGTCTCCACAAGACTACACCAATCTCTGACTTGCTGTTCACGGATACCCGACCAAATGCGACCTATCATCGATATGAGCCCTATAACCCGATCTCTTTCCATTTTCTTCGGTAGCAATTTGCCGATTACCAGTTGCGTCTGCTGAGGCCACGTGAGTGCAGCTTCGCATACGTTCATCAGCTCCGCAAGCTCCTCAAGGCCAGCCTGCGGAAGCCGCTCCACACCGAGCGGAGAGAGACGATCTGCGCCTAGTCCTGTCTTGCCACGCATGCGGTGAGCCATACCACGCACTTGATCCGCGGTGATGGGCTCCATGGGCTCGTCGCGCGCCGCCTCCTTGGTGGCGGCAAAGGCTTCGGCAAGTCGTTCCTCTTGAGAAGCGCCAGCAAACCCAATGCGTTCTAACCCGGCCGACGCAGCCCATGGAGTATCCG